GCCGAGTGGTATGCCCCCGCTGCCCCAGTGCGCCTGCCAGCCTGCGGAAAGCCCGGAAGGAGAAAGGAGAGGGTACGGCTGGAACCAGAAGGCTGGGTAGCTCAGAGACCAACACGGGGAAATTCAGAAGCCCCTTTGAGACTTTTCCAACCTGGTTTCTCTTTGCATCTTGGAGTCAAGTGCAGGGGTGTGTCTAAACTACATGGCTCCCTCGATGTAGCCATGTAGATTAGGCTGATCAGCAAAGGGAAATGAAGTCGTGATTTAAATAATCGCGGCTGGAACCAGAAGGCTGGGTAGCTCAGAGACCAACACGGGGAAATTCAGAAGCCCCTTTGAGACTTTTCCAACCTGGTTTCTCTTTGCATCTTGGAGTCAAGTGCAGGGGTGTGTCTAAACTACATGGCTCCCTCGATGTAGCCATGTAGATTAGGCTGATCAGCAAAGGGAAATGAAGTCGTGATTTAAATAATCGCGGCTTCATTTCCCTTTGCTGATCAGCCTAATCTACATGGCTCCCTCGATGTAGCCATGTAGATTAGGCTGATCAGCAAAGGGAAATGAAGTCGTGATTTAAATAATCGCGGCTTCATTTCCCTTTGCTGATCAGCCTAATCTACATGGCTCCCTCGATGTAGCCATGTAGATTAGGCTGATCAGCAAAGGGAAATGAAGTCGTGATTTAAATAATCGCGGCTTCATTTCCCTTTGCTGATCAGCCTAATCTACATGGCTCCGTCAACGGAGCCATGTAGTCTAGACGTACCCCAGGTGTCCTGCCCTCTTCTTAATACCCCTGTGCCGATTTGTTAATTCCATTTCCATTCCCACCCTGAGCATAGGAATGGAAGGACACAGCTAATATGTTCACTCGAGCCAGGGGTTTGAACGCACATCCGCCCCCCACCGCCACCCCAGTATGTCTGAGGAGATTTAGATGACGCGACTCTAGATTTTAAACCCCTGCAGCATGTTTTGTTCTGTCATCCTCTGCCCGGGGGGAAGTGAGTGCTGGGGAGTGATTTGGTTTGGTAGGGTTTCTTTTTATAAATGTAGTTTATTTTCAATGCAGATGTTACTGTGTATTTATGCTAGAGAAGATCAAGGCAAGAGCTTATAAACTGGTCAAATTAGGATAGATCTTCCAGGTTTAAAACAAACAAAAGGAAGTTTTTCTTCATGCAGCATGTAGTCAACCTGTGGAACTCCTTGCCAGAGGATGCTGTGAAGGCCAAGACTTTAACAAGGTTCAAAAAAGAACTAGATACATTCATGGAGGTTAGGTCCATCAATACTTATTAGCCAGGGTGGGTAGGAATGGTGTGCCTAGCCTCTGTTTGTCAGAAGCTGGGAATGGATGACAGGAGAGGGATCACTTGATGATTCCCTGTTCTGTTCACTCCCTCTGGGGCATCTGGCATGGGCCACTGTCAGCAGACAAGATACTGGGCTAGATGGACCTTTGATCTGACCCAGCCTGGCCATTCTTGCGTTCTTATATAGATTGTAAGCTCTATCTTCTGTCTTTTACAACACCTTTTACATTGAGATGCTGGCTTCATAGAAATACAAAGGGTAACATCAGAGATTAGAAGAGAGACACCTCACCCCAGGAACATCTTCCCACCCCGTGGCTTTCCCATCCTGCTGTGGCCAAGCTATCAACTTTTGGCCCAGCTTTCACTGGCATAAATACACCGCCACATCTGCATTGAAAATAAAATACATTTTAAAATCAAAGAAACCCTGCCAAACCAAATCATTCCCCTGCACTCGCTTTCTCCCGGGGCAGAGGGTGACAGAACAAATCATGCCATGTAGTCACGCGGTTTAAATGCACTAGAAGGTGCTGAGATGTGTCAGCGACGAGCACAGTGTGAGAACATCTCCAGACCAGAACATTGTCTGTTGCCACCTGCACACACGCACACAGCAGAACTCACTGGAGACATACCCCTTCGCTTTTGGAAGGTGCCAGGTGTGCATGCCTGCTGTACAACGTTGTGTAGTAGACCCACTCTCCTTTACCTCTGCATAGAGGACGGACAAAAAGGGAAGGGATCCTCCTTGCGCTCCTAGTAAAGCTGGGACCGTCTGCCACTATGTGTTTCTACACAACGAGGCCACAACCGAACAGAGCCACCGATGATATGATGCCATAAAACAGCCTTGATTGGAGGCAGCATTCCCTGTAAATTGTGCACATGGGCAGCCACTCAGAAGAGAAGCCAATGCTGCCCAGCTGATGAGCAGAGTGCCCGCAGCTGGGATTGTGTTTCTCCTGGTGGTGCACATTCACACAGGCATTGGTGCATATAACAAAATTTATCCCGCACCAACATCAAAAAGCCTAGAGGGAACGTTGGTCGGAAGGCTATCTAAACAGGGTCCCACTACTGAGGAAGTTTCTGGGACCTGCTGAGATATAATTAACTTCTTGCCCACGCCCTGCCGGTGTTTTGTTGAGCTCTGATTTGCCTTGCCGCTCGTTCAAAACCCTAGGAAATTTGTCAGGCACAAAATAGCAAGTTAGAGGGAGGAGAAACAGATGCTGCCTGACTGGATGTGCAAAAAAATTCTGACAGGCAAAAAATCATGCAACTCACACGTCGCGTGGTGCTAGCGAGGTAATAAGTGATCGACTCGCATAGTGACGCTCGTAGTACTCATGTTGTGTTCCCTTTTCGGAAGCCACTCCCCCTCTGGGTGACAGCTGTCACAGTGTATGTTCCTAGAACAGGGAGATATTTTTAAATCTCTCGTTGTGGCTCAAAACTGTGAGTGCAGCAGCCAAAATACCTCCCACTGGTATGTTATATATAGGCCTACACAGATACAGACGGTACAGACAGACCGAGCCCAGCCATGTCCCAGAGACAAGGTTCTGAAGATCTCAGAGCACTTTATCCGAACTTTGCTGGCCTGGCCTGCTCCCCACAGTGCCCTGCTCCGTGAATCCGGCCACCGGCTCCCCGCTCACCTGCCACGACACGTTCCATGTCGTGACTTTCAACTCTGCCCCTTCTTGCTGGTTTGTTCATCGTTTCGTCCTCATCCCCCTCCCCCCCGCTACACTGCTCAGGCCGGATTCGGTGTTGTACTTATCTGTGTCTCCCATTGCAGTCCTTCGGATACCGCTTATACCCACAACACAATTCCTTGCCTATATCTTGAAGGCCACTAACTAGGCATGTTAAATTTAGTTTAATCAACTCCCTAGTTGATAAGCAGGGGAGCCGCAGCAGGGTTAGCTCCTGGCCATGGAAGCGCAGGAGGGGGGACCCAGCGCCCCCCTCCCCTCTCTTGCGCTTCTGATGTTTAAATGTATAAATAGCTGCAGGCTCTTCATACATTCAAAAAGCAGAGGCGCAGCGTCTAGGACTGGGTGTGAGCCGGGAATCAGCTGATTCCCGGCTTACACCTATCCCTGCTACCCCTCTGCCCCCCTCCAGAGACAGTGCTGGGGGAACCGGCTTTTAAGCAGGCTTGCCCTAGCACCGGTTCCTGCTCCCCCGCCCTTGCTGCCTCTGATAAGGGGATACATCTACCCTGCAGAGTTTTTTCGGAAAAACCGCCGTTATTCTGAAAAAAACCCCAGCATTCGGGGGGGGGGGAAAAATCAAAAGAACAGAGGGTTTTTTCCCACATTGGTAAACCTCTTTCTATGAGGAAGAAGCCCTCTTCTGAAAGAGCTCTTTCGGAAAAAGGCGTGTGGACGGGGGGAGGGAGTTCTTTCAGAAGAAGAGGAAAGAGGAAAAAGCACAGGTGACCTGGTGACCACTCCATCCATAGGAATCACAGCTTACATGCGAGAGAGTGTCCATTTAGCGTGGATGCTATCTGTCGAAAAAGCAGACCGCTTTTCCGATGTGCTTTGGCAGTGTGGACGCTCTCTTTCAGAAGAAGTTTTTTTGGAAGATCTCTCCTGGAAAAGCTTCTTCCAAAAGAAGCCGGCTGTCTAGACATAGCTTGAGGCAGCCAGGTGGGGGCGCGAACTAGTCGAGGGACTAGTCGACTAGTGACTTACATCCCTACCCCTAACCTCTACTCCTGACAAGCCCCTCTTGAATCCACCCACTACTGCAAGAACTTGATTCACCCAAGAGTACATCTAGCCCCAAGTATGTCAGAGGCCAGCCACACTGGGCTGGCTTTTATTAAAGTTAACCGCAGGTAAAAGCATCGGGCAATCATGGAAGCTCTTCTCCAACCTCAATTTAGCCGGGGATCCCGACAGAGCCGCTCTCGTCTCCCTCAGGAACTCCTCTGACACTGAGTTATTGCTACAAAAAGTTATTAGAAATAAGTACACCCGATTTCCTCACGAGCCTCACACGTATCAGCATTTCAAACACGGAGCGCTGCAGCCTTCAGAGACACGATGACGCGTCAGCGCTTGATACAGTTATCTACCTAATAATAACCCCAAAGAGCGCGCTCCTCCTGGCAGCCTGCCAGACCACATGCTGCCTTTCTGCTTTTTTTTTTTTCTCTCTCTTCTCTCAGACATGGAAACGTTGACTCTAGGAAACACAGAGCCTTCTGTGAAAACAGGGTTTTGAGGAAACAGACTTTATTTGGGGTGGGGGGGAGGAAAAAAAAGGTACGTGTGACTTTTCTCTTCTTTTTCTTTTCATGTTGTTTCTATCATCCAGGGCCGGGCAAGAACGTGACCCTTTTGCTGTCAGTTGTGTGGGAAACAATTGCTTGTCTCAGCTCTGCAGAGCTGATGCAACCATTATTCAAGGCTTCAAGGACAACGATCCAGAGACAAATAAGCACTGACTTATGTGTTTTCAGAGGGCAAATTAACACACCCTTTTTCTCAGGGCTGAGGGAGGGAATCCAACCAGCTCCGGGTTTTTGACTGGGGGGAAGGAAGACGCCACCTCACTTGACGTCAGCTTTTGTGGCCACACATTCCAGCCCTCGCGAGCGTAGAGAGACTCTCTCGGAGATGGAGGAAATGCATTTCAGGAAGAAACGCCTCTGTGGTTTTAGAACAACAGTGAGTTCAAAACGGTTACTTTAAAACATACGAACAACGGCCTTGCCAAAAGAATCCTCTGAGGTATGGAACCAAACCAACATACACCTGCTACGGATCTGGCCCTGTGTCGATACAGCATATGTACTGAAAGGTACAGAACGCTCCAGGACAATTCTAATGGGCATTTTAACATCAATTTGTATGTAAAGAATGTAAGAACATCCACACCAGCTCAGACCAAGCGGCCTTCTAGCCCAGAGTTAATTCTTCTGACAATGTCAGTACCACAGCTTTAGGAGAGTATACAAAATGGGATAATTGGCATGATTAGGGCCTTCCCAAATTCACAGCCATGAAAAACGTGTCACAGGCCATGAAATCTGGTCTGTTGTGTGCTTTTACCCTACAGTGTTCCCTGTAAGCTGAGCACTCGAGTGGCTACCAGGGAGAGATTCAAATGCCACCCCGCTGCAGTGCACTCACAGCCGGCAGCATGTGTTTCTACTGGTGGTGCACATTTGCATATGCCTCAGTGCACAAAACAAAATTTACTCCACACGTGGGTGGAAAGCATTAAAGGGAACATTGCCCTGCAGTATGCAGATTTCAAGGGGGAGACACATGTTTCACAAATGGGAGGCCCGGACCCACAAAGGAGTTGCAATGGGGAGTCACAAGGTTATTTTAGGGGTATTACGGTTCTGGCACCCTTACTTCTGCACACCCTCCCCAGCTGGGCAGTCGGAGAGCAGCGGCTGCTGACTGAGGGCCCAGCTTCGCAGCCACAGGACAGAAGTAAGGGTGCCAGAACCATACCAGATCACCTTTACTTCTGCTGCTGGTGGCGCTGACTTCAGAGCTGGGCTCCCAGCCAGCTGCCACCTCGCTCCAGCGCCTCGCTCTGAAAGCAGCCTCACCAGCAGCAGCAGGGCAGAAGTAAGGGGGGGACAGTATCAAAACCCGCCTACAATTACAACACTGGGAAATTTCCGATGGAAATAGCAGAAATCATGAAATCTATTGTTTTTTAAATGTTAGGACCGTGAAATTGACCAAAATGGACCATGAATTTAGAAGGACCTGGGGTGTCATCCACACTTCTCTTCCCCTCCCAGCTTCTGGCAGTCAGGGATTTAGGGTCACCTGAAGGATGGGTGACCACATACCTGATCATCTGCACTAATAACCATTCATATCCTGCATTAACTTATCACACACACGCAGGACGTGCCTTCCAGGGCGACGGCAGGGGCCTGGCCGTATTATTCCCGCGCCACAAAGCTCTGCTCGTCCCGGTACAGCGTTTGCCCCCAGCACATCGCCTCCCGTGTGAAGCCACCGATCCCCTTTCAGAAACACGGCCCGGGCGACGTTCCCTGCAAGCCATGAGGCTGCCTACCATGGGCAGAGGCTTCCGCATGAGGACAGGAGGAAGGTTGTCCCACCCCCGGCATAACCTCCAGCCTGCCGGGCGGAAGAGGGCTGACCGGAACCAGGCACGTCTCACCCTCCCCGACTGAGCCCAGCGGCCACCCAGCCCCAGTTCCAGCCCCCAACCGCAGCAGCCAGAGTGGCCTAGGCCTGGATTCCCTTCCCCGCTGTGGCCCATTCCTGGACCCCTCCCACTGTGGCCGAAGCAGCGTGGCACTGAAACTCCCTGTGGCCTGGTCCCGAGCCTCCCCTCACACCTCCATGGGACCCTCTGCCCCATCCCCAGCCAGAACCCTTACATGCCAATTCTCTGTCTCGGCCCTCAGCCCCATGCCAGAGGCTGCACCCCAAGACAGAGCCCTGCCTGAGCCCCGTCCCATACTCAGAACCCCTCGGCCCACCTCACCACCATATCGCAACATTCATTCCGCATAAGGGAGGGAAAAATGAGAGGAAATTTGGTCACAGAGTAGCTCTGAACGTTTTTTATTCCTATTCTGCATCATGGCCCTCTTCTACTGGAGGCTCTGAAGGCCACATTTCCCGCCCACCCCTTTCCCTCCCTCAGAAACAAATGCAGGTATTCACATCCCCCCATCTCTGATGGCCCAAGAACAGTCCAGGGTCACACCGGGTCTGACTTTGGCCTTGCTGCACAAGAGGTGAAATTGTCCACCTATGTGTGTGGTTACATCCCCTGCCTCCAACGGGGAGATGGGACCCAGCAAGCCAGTGCCCACGGGCGCACAAAAATGCAAGGGCCTGTGCCTTACTCTGAAAACACCCCCCTCAGCACGGAGGGGGGGGGGTCTCTCATCACAGGCACGTAACCAAAAGAGGTCATTAAAGAGGCAAAGAACAGAGTCACTGACCATTTTGCCGCAGATCTGATTATCTAGGTGTTAAATAACCTGGGGTGTAAAAGATCTGGGGGTTACAGGGGATGAGAAGCTGGATACGTGTCAACACGGTGACCCGGTACCCAAGAAGGCTAACGGCATGTTGTGGGGCATTAGGAGGAGCATTCCCAGCAGATCTAGAGAAGTGATGATTCCCCTTTATCCGGCCCTAGTGAGGCCACATCTGGAGTATTGCGTCCAGTTCTGGGCCCCCCACTACAGAAAGGATGTGGGCACACAGGAGAAGGTCCAGTGGAGGGCAACCAAAATGATTCAGGGGCTGGAGCACATGACCTATGAGGAGAGGCTGAGGGATTTGGGTTTGTTTAGTCTGCAGAAGAGAAGAGTGAGGGGGGGTTTGAGAGCAGCCTTCAACTCCCTGAAGGGAGGTTCCCAAGAGGAAGGAGAGAG